CCCCAAAAGATAGGGATTTCTTCGTTTCTGGATACTTCTTGACATTAAAAACTCACAATATCTTGCAGGAACACATCCCATTCATCATGGTTTAAGATTTAAAGTGTTAGAACAGTTCTAGTTCAACCACAAATGCAGTTTGAGGGCTTTTGAATAGCTGCTCACTTTATTCAACAAATCTTTACTGAGCTCTTACTTAATGGCAGCCACGGGTGCTAGGACCTAGCGACACAATGGTGAAGAAGAGTATTTCTAATGAAGTTAACCATTTATTCACCAAAGACTACACTGAAGCACCTCCTTTTCTCTTTCTCAGAGACAGAGGCCAAGTAAGCTTAACTTTGAAACGTAGGGATTGACCCTTGGTTAGAACAACGGAAAACTGGACTAGGTAGATAGCGAACACATGACGTATTACTCCACTGTAATATTAATTTAGAGGCATGACATACGGGGGAGAACATAATTTAACAGAAAATCCTTCTGTTCATTGTGTTTTTCTCTAATTTTCACCTTCTCCACAGCTGTTTTTGTCTCATTCTGATAAAAACAATTTTTTTGGAAGTCATTGTAAAGTCTGGAACAAGGGGCATACCCTCTGTCCTCAGAGGTTGGCACACAAGCCTGTGAACTTGGAAAGAGAACAGAGCTTTCTAGTCTGACAAACAAAGAAAATGGAGATTAAAAAGTGATTTCCTCTTCTTTCCATCAGCACATACCAGCTGTCAGACACCACTGAATAATCGATTCCTCCTTTTCCTGAAAGGTAGACAGCTATTATTAAAGTGTTTCCAAAAGGACATGTAAGGAAATATATTTTAGTTTTCAATAATAATGGCACAGATGAAGTGGTAATGCAACACTCATAAGAGACACATTTAATAGTATTTGCATTTGTGAATTTTTTTGCTCATCTAATTCCACTGCCTCCAATGGTCCCTGAAACCTCGCCAGCAGGCTGACATCCTGATAAACTCTAAAAGGAAGAAGGAAAACATTGTCTAAAAGGCAGGGTAGGTGTGGCAGCTGAGAGGTCATGGTGAACAAAAAAGAAAGCGCAGCTACTCAAGTATCTGCAGATAAGGCATTCAGTTCAAGGTCTGAAATACACCAGCTTGCAGACTGCCCACGCGGTACCTGATGACAGACTCCCAATGACAGAGCCCAACCCGTAGGTTCTTTTGTGGAGCCCATCACTTCCAAACAAAGCAAGCTGTTGAGACCAGTCCTAACATCAGGCAGCAGAAAGCTTCCTTCCTTTGGGAAGAGCTAGTAAAGGTGACTCTCTATGCCCTCTTCCTGTAAAAAGGGCCAGCTTTCTCCCAAAGTTTCTGCTGTTGGATAAAACTCACAAAGGCTGTGAGGCCAGAATACAAAGAGTGTGGTGATTAGAATAAAAATGAGCCCATATCCATGCAACCCTGCAGGAGTTAATTCCCTTCCAGAACCTCAAATTCATCATCTGTAAAATGTGGTAGGCAGATTGAATCAGAAAACTAAAGTGATTCTAAATTTCTAAGACTTCTTTTCTCTATTTCCCTCTATCTTCCAATTAAATAAGCGTAAACCGTCAAATCATAATCTAGCCTACCTGCTTTCCATGTCCTTGAGATTAATTCACGTACTTTCTGAATAACATGATAAAGTTACCTTTAGAAACATACACATCAGTTTCAGAATGACAGTCCTTGGCTGCCACTTGGCCCAGGAGCACATAGTCAGCACCGTGAAGCCAGGCAGCATCCTGCCCAGCATCCACTGCCCAGATGCCAGTTGATGTTCTCTCAGGAGATACCACCTTCCTTTCCAAAATGCTTACTTTTTGCTCAGAACAATGATGGCCACATGGACACGTTTGACTCACCACCTGAACACTCAGCTTATGTTCTTTCTCCAAAGAATTAATGCACATAAGTTTGTGTAGTCCCCAAGACTCTTTCATGCATTTTTTTTTAAAAAGTAAGGTATCACCCAAACTCTGGCCTGAAAGTTCTTCTGAAATACCACGTGGTATCACCATTTCTAGGTAGCCTAGTACATAGCCATAATTGACTTAATCAGCCAAATATGAAACCTGTTCAATACTGCTCCTGCAGGAGTCAGTCTCAAGTACATAAAACTTAACGAATTACAATTCACGTTTGTGTTAGCAAGTTTATTTTGTTCCAGCCCTTCTTATAGTTGAAACTCTCAGATTTGTTCTAAGCTGGGAACTGCCAATGAAGCATTCAAAGCATTTCACAAAGTCGCATCTTGTCATTTTTTTCATATTCACGAGAGATCAAGCCCTAGTTCACTCTTGTTTAAATTTTATTATCATAGTTATTAGTAATAAGCCAATAGAAATAGGGTAATAAGGGGGAAAGTTCAGGATAAATAACTTCTTCCTTATGAATTAAAACACATGTGCATAAACTGATGTGAGTTACCACCTCTCCACATTCTGTCTTGCTATACAAATAGTTACACAAAAATCTACAGAACAACGTGAGCATTCGATACCCTGGGCTGGGGAAAGAACCCTGGTTGAGTTAAGTCTCAGGCTGATCTCGGTCTAGATGACCAGCTTCTCCACACTCAGCGTACTTGTGGTTTCATCTTCTTCATTTGACCCAAAATATCCCGGGAGGTCCAGCATCCTCTGCTCGGCCTCAGTGAGACCGAACGATGTATTGTCGTAGAAGGCAAACTCTGGGTGGGCGGGGAAGCTCTGACACTTGTCTTTTCTACACTGAGAAGGGCTCAGAGGACTGACCCTCTGGTAGCTATCTTTGGGGGCGGTGGGGGACGGCTGCTTCCTTGAGACGCTCCTGTGACTGGGGGACGGTCCCCTTCGAGCTCGGTGAGGCTCCGTTCTCTCCCCGCCTACCACGAATCCTGCCTGGCGATCCCCCAGGTCTGGCTTCCTCGTGTGCTGCCCCAAGGTGTGGGATTTAGGGAGAGGGCTTAACGCACCACCGGTTCCACTTGCCCCCTGGCCGTGGTCCAGCTTCTCCGGAAGCAGGGCAGCGCCTCGACTCGGAGGCCGGAATCGGTCTTCCGCCTGGTCCCAGGTGTGCGTCCTGGAACCGCAGGCGGGGGCCTGCCGCGGGGTCAGCGTGGACAGGCTCCGCTCGCGGAACGGCCGGGCCTGCTTGGCCTCGTGAAAGCTCGCCGTCCTGCGGAAATGGGAACTCCTGGGGTGGCTCCTCTCCGGCAGCGCCCCCCTGCCGCCCGCGTGCCTCATCTGCGACTTGCGGATCACGGTCTGGCTGGGGCTGACGGCACAGCTGGCCGGCGACACGGCGACAGCCAGCCTGGAGGTGGGCCTTTCCCCGGCCCCGGCCGCGGGCGGCTCCAGGAACGGGGATTTGATCCGGAACTTGCCGGCGGCCGCCTCTTCCGGGCTCTCCGAGTCCCCGGGGGGCGCGGCGCGGCGGCGGCGTCGATGGCGGTGTCGGTCAGGGGGCTCTGGGACACGTGGTACACCTTGGTGGTTTCCGTCAGGCCTTTCTTCTTCATCTCCTTCAGCTGCTGCTGGGCGAGGCGGTAGCTAAACAGGGGCGGGATTATCTTCTGCGCGTTGGGCTGGAAGCTCTCGCTGCCCGAGGCCTCGTCGCGGGGGGCGCCGGCGCACTCCGCCGGTAGGTCAGAGGGATGCCCAGGTCCCCCGGGCCCCCCGCCGGCCCATCGCCCGCGTCCGAGAAGCTCCCGCGCGCCTCGCTCAGCTCGCAGATGTTCTCCTCGTCCGAGTTCTTCCGGCAGCCAGGGCCGTGGAGGGAGTTGTGGCGCGCGGGGGTGCTGCACTTGGGGGCGCGGCCGAACTTCCGCCACAGCGTGATGAGGACGGTGGCCAGGATGATGAACAAGCACAGGGATATCCCAGTGACCGTCACGATGTTGTTGGACTTCACTGGACCCTGGGGCTGGAGGGGAGACTGACTGGATGGCCGGAAAGCTACAAAATAAGGAAGAGCGGTGTATCCTCTGGTATTGTTTTCTCTGCGTGGGTAGAAGGTCTCTGAGTGGTTTGCTCTAACTCTCTAGCAGTTAAAGTAACATAAACAAAGACTAGGATTTCTGGTCTTACATGTATCTCCAACCCCTCCATTTTCTCCATCTGCCAGCTACCTTCTGCCCTCACTTCTGTCCCTACACCCAGGATGCATCACTCAAACCCTCTCCTGCCAATAATCTGAACTCCGTGACCTCGGATACTGAGCAATTCCCCTTTCCCTGCTCTGCAGATAAATCCAGGCGTGAATGATCAGCTGCTGCGCCCCATCCCTGAGCCCCGGTGGAGAAAACAACATACACATTGAGGCCACTACCCCTGTGTACTGATAGTGCCCAAACCTGGCTGCTCACAAATCCTTCCACGAGTCCCTGAGCGACTCTCTTCCATTCCCTACAATACTGCTTCAAAGGCTCACCACTTCCCTCAAGCCCCTACGTAATCCTCTTCCTCAGCTGTCTTCTAGATCACGGAAACTAGAAGCTATTAAGCAAATATACCCCAAGCTTCTCCTGCCATCCTCTCCTGCCCCCTAAACTTACCTCTGTTTCCCTCTTTCTCTAGGGAACCAGTGGCAGAAGTGTCTTCCTATAAAGATGAGACCACCAAGCGCTCTCTAGGCTGCCCTTCTGCAGGGGGACTATCCCTCTGTACCAATTATCTCCAGCTTCTCCTTTGTGCAGAGTCACACAAACATGCTCAAGCTCTTCTCACTTCAAAAAGACCTTTCCAGAACCCTCTCACTACTGCCTCAGCCATATCTTGCTCCTTGTCTTCCCAGCTGAACCTACAGGAAGAGGAGTTCACATTTGCTGACTTACTGCTTCCACATCGTCACCTCTGTCTCCTGCAACCTGCCCCCAGGATTCCAGTGAAACAGCTCTTACTGAGGTCATTAATGATCTAATAGCCAAATGCAAACGAGTGCCGTCTTGATAGTCCTTGAGCTGTGCAGCCTTGGCTACTGTCTGACACTTTCTGGGACTTTTTCTTCTCTTGGTCTCGATAATACTCACTTATCTACTGTGGAGAGAAGAACATGAACTTTGGAACCTGGGAGATCCAGATCCCATCTTGGCCCCACTAGCTCTGCTTTCTCCATTGATGCCCAACCAACACCTCCACCTCCACCTCCACCTCCACATGCCCAAGATGCATCACCTTCCCCCTGGATTCGGCACCTCCTCCAATATGTCTGATCTCAAGAGCATGGCATCGATGTCCTTGCAGTTGCCTGTATTAGAATCCTAGGTTTCATCCTTGATGCCTCTCTATCCATCACTCGCCACATCCAGAGTCACTGCATCCTCCTCTCCGCCGCATCCCTACTGCCAGTGCTGCAATTCTCACCTGGGCTACTGAGAAACTCTTAACAGCCGAGAGATCCCTCTACAGCGCAGGTTCAGACTTTCAAGGGCCTTCAGGATCTGGTCCCTGCCTACCTGTCCAGCCTCATATTTATCACTCCCTCCTGACACATCATCCTCCAGCCACATTAAACTATTGTCAGTTCTGTAGGTTTTTAATGGGCCACAACCTTCTGAGCTTTCATCATTGCTCCCTTTGCTAAAATTCCCTTTCTCACCTAGTTCGCCAGGTGACACCTACTCAGCCTTCAAACTTCAGCTCAAGTATCACCTCCTGTAAGAACAGAGGTGTTCCCAGCATGGATTGTCACTAGCTTCCGTAGCAAGCTGCGGACACCTTCATATCATACTGTGTGCTGCTCCTGTTTGTGTGTCTGCTGAGTTACCTTCCCATAAGCCCCTTCCAGACAGAGATATGGCTTATCTATGCATCCCCTACCCCAGACACAGTAACTTGTACCTAACTGGTACTCAGTAAATATTATATTCATTATTTGATTCATTATTAAAAAGGTAATAGCAAAATGATCAACCTCCCATCAGATAGAATGTGGTCGGGCAACTGGATCCTCCCACTCATGTTGAACAAGATGGACTGAATGAACGAAGAACTTCACCCAGACCTTTATAAAACATGGTTTCAAAGCCAAACAAAACTCAAGACTCTCAACCCAGTGAAGACAGTTGAATGATGAAAGACTTGTTTCCTGACCCAGCACGTCTTCACCTGCAGTGGCTGCTGTGTCAGTGGGCAGCAGCCTTGCAAATGCCCGTCATGGACCTCTCAGCCAGCAGCTTCGACTCTGGCTGGGTCCCTTCAAAACCAAGGCTGGAGAAAAGCCCCAAAGCTGCTGACCTCACCCATCTCTGCCTCATCTAATCTCTCCTCTTTCACCTGAAGTGAAGGAGATTTCCTGACGCTAAGCAGCCTGCAGACAGATCTTTACATTTCCAAGGAGTGGAAAATAGGCCGAACAGGAAATAAGAGGACACTTGGAAGAAATAATCATTTTCATCCACACAAGCATTTGTCTGAGGACCACTGATAGTAGAAGTGGGGATGCCCATAGCATGTACCCTTCCTGCTGATGTATAATGTACAAATTTCTAGTTCCCACCTGGGATTAAAGAGTTAAGATGCCAGAAGATAATACCACATATCCTTAAAAATGATTCCTCATGCCAGGTTGTTGATGCTTCTAGAATGTTAGACTGGCCTGTGGATAGAGGCAAAGTACTCAAGACAAGCAGCTTAGTATGAGGTCAGATCTAGTCCCCTGCTTTCTAGCTTTATGGTCTCGGGCAGGTGACTTGCCCTCTCTCTACTGTAGAGTCCTCACCTGGATGTAGAGATAATGATGTGCTGACTTCACATGTGCAAGGCACTTAGAAAAATGCCCGCAGGCAGCAAGCTCTTAAGATCCCAGTGCAGCACAATCATCCTTAACCTTGTAGGGCCTTTGGGCACTTTGAGTGAGGTAATGTATTTAAAGTGCTGGCAACATACATGGTCAATAAATGGTTGTCCCTTTGAAAGGTGCAGCAGAAGCCAGGGGCAATTGATTTCAAATCCATTTGAGTGTTATGGAACTCTCGGTGGAATAGCTTAACACAACATGCCAGCACAGAATGGAGAGGAAGGAGTCATACAATGAAGGAGCTGTGGAAAGTGAAGGGAATCTGACAAGAGTGGCCAGGGAAGAGCGCCTTAGAAGACAGCATGAGATAAAACTGGAGAAAGAAGAGATTCAGGGTGGCGCCCAGGGCTGATGCAAGAAGACGGTCAGGCTGAGGGCTAGAAGCAGAGACTGGGTCTACGGCTTTATGGGAAAATCACAGAAGAGAGGACGTCCTCGGGATGCTGGAATAAAGGGAACAAGGCCTACAGCACTGGCTGGAAAGAGGAGAGAGACAGCAAGGATCTTCTAAGGTCACAGGTGGGGACACTGGTCAGGGCGTTGCCAGGTGCTGGTGGTTTTGGCTACAAGGTGCTCTGAGACCAAACACAGAACACCTGACTCCTCCAGCTCCCAAAGGGACAAGGAACAAGGGATGGCTTCCAACCTGGAACTGGAGAATGGAAGAAGTCAGGACTGGCCAGAAGGACTTCACCTAAGGGTTAGGACCAGAGCAAAGGCCGGCCAACTAAAGAGGGAGCTGGCAGTGAATCAGAGGTGGGACAGTGTGAGGGAAGAGCAAAGGTTCTTTCTTCCTGTAACGTGTGGCAAACGAATGGGGTTCAGCTCCACAGGCTGAAACAAGCCTAACTGAGCCACATGAGCATCACACCAAAGACCATTCACATCAAATACGCAGTGAGTGCCTACTCGTGTGGGCCTTCAGGATGCGTAGAGGACGAAGGACGGGCCAGGCTCCAGGTGAGCAAGAAGAAATCCCGCCTTCTCCTCCTGGGCAGGGCTGGTAAAGAACAGGATCCCTCAGGGGATATGACAGGGTGTCTTGCTCCCTTTTGACAAGTAATGGTCTATGTGGTGCCCTGGGCTTCTCTGAGATAAAGAGGAGAAAAAGAATTTTTTGATGTTTTTCCACAATGTTGGTGGAGAGAAGTAAAGGAGGGAGAAATAACAAAAAAATCTTCGGAAGAAGTGTAGTCAGTTTGCGATGTTGTGGTAGTTTCTGGTGTACATCATAGTGTTTCGGTTATACACATATACATATATATATTCCTTTTCATATTCTTTTTCATTATAGGTTATTGTAAGATATTGATTATGGTTCCCTGTGCTATACAGTAGGAAAAAAAATCTTCGGAAGAAATGATCATCCCTTCCATTTTGGTATGTTTTATTTATTTTGGGGGGGGAGTAATTATGTTTATTTAACTTTTTTTTTCAGTGGAGGTACTGGGGACTGAACCATGATGCTAAGCACGTGCTCTACTGCTGAGCAAGTCCCCTCCAGGAACAGACTCCCGAAGGAGGAAGGATACCTACCAGCGCACTCCTCCAGGGAACACGGAGAGGTCTCCGAGGACATTCCAGGGCAGCCGGGTCGGGAGGGGAAGGAGGTGAGGCACAGGCGGCGACGCTCTCTGACACCGTCCCCGCACGTGGCGCTACACTGGCTCCATGGCTGCCACAGTCCCCAAGTTTCTGCAAGGACAGTGGCCGTGCTTTTAGTGCTAGTTCATTTGAGAACCAGAATTTAACTGCACCCAAATGAAGCAGCAAAACTCAAAGCTCGGGCCTTGAAAGGGCAATCAAAAAGAACATTCCCAAAGATGCGGAAAGCTGGAATAGAGCTGCTACCCTTACAACAGAGCAAAGCTGAACAAGCTACAAAACATCAACCTTTCTGGAACCCATCAGAGCGCTAAGGTCACAGGACAACCAAGTAGCCTGAAATATAAGGAAAGCCAGGCTCCTCCAAGGAGAGGCAGGATGCAAACGCTGATTCCTGTGGCAGATGGCAGCCCTCATCCAAGCTGGTTGAAGAAGTCATCCAAAAATGGATGAGCTGCCAGAAGCCTCGTGTGGGCTGGCGCGAGAACACAGAACGCCGGGAGCCACGCTACCACGGGGGAACCTGCACCCACTTGGAGACGCTTCTCCACGGATCTCACCAGATGTTCACAAGGAGGACAGAGGGCAGACACAAGACCAGAGGCAGCTCCCTCGTGGTGGGGCCCAAGGTGGGAAGGAGCAGCACTGTTGAGACACAAACCTCACCCAGATCCTCCACCCCATCTGCTCCATCAACAAAAGCCCCAGCCACTGGGAACAAGGCAGGAAACCTTGTCACTCTAAGAGCACCAGCTGAGACCCAGTGCTATCAGGAAATGGAAAAAAGAAGAAAATCCGTCACTCCTGGGTCCAGACTATTAGCGAGCTTCTACCACTGGTGAGGGGCAGGGTTGTCACAAAGGCCCCATCCCTGAGACTCGGGCACAGCGCTTGCCTAAGACTAAGGCTGAACCAGAACAAGAAGGCACTCTCCTACCCCCATCATCCAACACCCACTCTCCACCAGGCTAGCAGTTACCAAGAATCAAATAACAAGAGTCTGTGACTGGGAGAGAGGCGAGAGTGACAGGAAAGCCTCTCTGCTGTGCAGGCTCAAGGCCGAAGTTGAGGGTTCTACTGAAGCGTGGAGGAAATCCCTCTGGCAACCTACTACCCTCCCACCCAACTCCTACCCTAAACATACAGTAACGTTAGAAAATGCTGAACTCAGTCATGCACTGAAGGTAGCCATAGCAAAGTAAAAACTCAAACATAGCTCAATTCCTTACTCTGTTGACCCAATCCCCACACTAAAGGCCCAGCAAAAATAGGGTATGCCCATTTCCAGGCGTAAATACTATTTATCAGTGTCTACACTTCTAAATAAAACGTCCAACTTTCAACCCCAAATTAGGAGACACATAAAGGAGAAAATACAATAAAATATCCAAGGAATTAAGATAACCAGAGCAGAGTAGCTCAGATACTGGAACTCCCAGAGAAGAGAGACATTAACTATGATTAATATGTTAAAGATTTTAGTGGAAAAGGTGTACAAGATGAATGAACAGATGAAAAATTTCATCAGAGAGTTGTAAACTAAAGAGTTCAAAGGAATGCTAGAAATGAAAAGCATGGTACCAGAGATGAAGAATGTCTTCTACGAGATTTGCAAATATTAACTACTATATATAAAAATGGACAAAAAAAAATTTCTTCTGTATAGCACAGGGAACTATATTCAATATCTTGTAATAACTTTTAATGAGAAAGAATATGAAAACGAATATATGTATGTATATGTATGACTGGGACATTGTGCTGTACACCAGAAATTGACATATTATAACTGACTATACTTCAATTTAAAAAAAAAGAAAAAAAAAAGAATGCCTTCTAGAGGCTCATCAGTAGACTTGACACAGCTGAAGAAAGGAACAGTGAATCTGAATATAGGTCAATAGAAATCACCAAAACTCAGACACAAAGAGGAAAAAAAAAAAAAGAATGAAACAGGACAGAATACCCAAGAGCTGTGGGACAGTATCAAGTAGTTTCTCATCCATATAACTAGAATCCTAGAAGGAAAAGAGAATAGAATAATGTCCAAGAATTCTCCAAAAGTAATGAAAAACACCAAACTACATCCAAGATGCTCAGAAAACATGAAGTAGTATACCCACAAAAAAGCCAACAAACAAAAAAGTTAGACACACTATATTCAAACTGCTAAAAAACTAAAAACAAACAGAAGACTTGGAAGGCTGTGGTGGGAGAGAGGGGACAAGGCAGGAAATACATCCAATACAGCAGAATAAAGATGAGAATTACAGCACACTTTTCATGATGCAAGCCAGAGACAATGGAGTGACATCTCTAGAGGACTGAAGGGAGAAAAATACTAACCCCAAATTCCATATCCAGTGAAAATATCTTTCAAAAATGAAGGAGAAATAAAGGCTTTTTCAGACAAATGAAAATTAATAGAACTAACTGCCAACAGACCTTCATTATAAGAAATGCTAAAAGAAAATCCTTCAGGCAGAAGGAATATGATACCAGACAAAAACTTGCATCTGTATAAAGAAATGAAGTGTGCTAGAAATAGCATTTATAGAGGAAAAGATAAAATTAACTTTTTCTTATTTCTAAATGCTCATTCTGTGTTTACAGCATCCATAAAGTAAAATATATAACAAAGAATGGGAGGAAAGAATTGGGATTGTACTGTTATAGGTCCTTACACTACATGTGAAGCAATATACATTATTTGAAGGTAAACTGAGAGTAATTAAAGATGTATACTGTAAACTCTAGGATGACCACTTAAAAACATTTTATGGTATAAACAATAACCAATAGTGTGGTTAAAGTAAATTATAACAAATATTCAATTAATCTAAAAGAAGGCAGAAAAAAAGAAGAAAAAGAAACATCATAAATCAATAAAAAATGTTAAAAAAAAAAAAAAAGAAAGAAGAGACAGGAAAAAATACAAAACTACCAAGATGGTAGATCTTAATCTAACCATATAATGATTACATTAAATATAAATAATCTAAACAACAATGAAAAGACAGAGATTGTGAGATTGGATAAAAAAGCATGACCCAACTACATGCTGTTCAAAAGAAACTCACTTTAAATGCAAATACACTATTGGTTAAAAGTAAAAGGATGAGCGAAGTTTTCCCTTGTGAACATTAACCAAAAGAAAACTGGAGTGGCTATTTTAACATCAGAGTAGACTACAGAACAAGGAGCATTACCAGGTATAAGGAGGGATGTTATATAATAATAAAAGGGTCAATTGAGCAAGGAGCCTTAACGACCCGAAACGGGAAATGTGCCTAACACCAGAGCTTCAAAATATATACAAAACACTCCCAGAACAATAATTACTGATTGACAAATGTAAACTTCTCTTCCAAGCATGTATGTAATCACTGCCAGACAGGATAAATGAAGAACCTCCTATAAATTATTATCCTAAGTCCCTTCTCTGTCAGCACACATCCAACCCCAACACCCATCAGATCACATCCATGCTAGGCACCAAAATATCCTCTGCCCCAAAGTCTCTCTTCATCATTAAGGACAAAAACTCATAATGGAGTCAAGGGTGTACAAAGCACTACAAAAACATGCAGAGCTGACACATTCTCAGGTGAGCCAAGTGGTGCAATCTTTGGAGTGAGTCATGGAATATGAGTTCTTTATAGCAATTAAAAGTCTCTGGGATTTTCACAAGGGTGGGAGCACTCATTACAAACCAGTATCCTGGACCAACATCAACCGAGGTGTGGTAACTATGTTCCATCCAGAGGTCCCAATGAACACAATATTGGTTCTGTGCCTCCCAGATCACCCTCAGGTCCTCAAATGGCAGAATAACAAGCCAGCTTTGTCCTCAAGCTTCAGAGCTATTCAGACACTAAGCTCCCAGGGATGAAAAGCTTTGGGAAGCTCATGGTCAGTCTCTCTGAGTTAAAAGTATTGTGATTTATTTTTGAAAAGTCTACTGGGAACTCTACTAGTGTAAAATCTAAATGGAAAATTAAGTCAACTTATAGCTTATCCTTCTCTTGGGCTCATATTTAAGACCACAAAAGGTAGAATTACAAAAGCTAAGAGTCCTTTTGTTATTCTTTCTTAACTCTTTTTAAAAATTATATAGATATAATTTATTTCAATACATAAAGTCATTTGTCAAACTAAAACATACGGGGAACATGAATCTGTGTTCACTGTATCCCCTTTGTTTATTTGAAATTTTTAGCATGTACATGTTTTTATTATCCAAGAATAAAAATAAAAAGACAGAGCATTGGTCTTTTTCTTATTGGCTCCCATTTGTGGGAGCCAGAAAAAAAAATGAAAGTTTTGATAAAAGCATCAATCTTAATGTCAAAAAAATCTCATTTTGAAATGTGTCTTTTTCCTTTGAAAGTAAAATCATGGGTGGTAGGCTCATCGACAACAAAAAATAAACACTTAAACTATGTTTTATGTCCTTTCATTTCTAAACCATATTAAACAAACAGGAAACAAGGGAAATTACTCAAATAAAGCAATGAACAAATTTAATCAGGCAAAACTTAACAAATGCCTTAAGTAATCCTATTTGTTCCCTGAAGATCTCTGTTCATACTTGGCAGAATGGGAACTCACTTGATAGATGTAGTTCATGAACTAGAAATGAACGTAAGGTGACCCATATTCTAAATAGTCCAACTTTATGAATGAAAGGCTGTTTTGTTTTGTGTTGTCCTGGTCAGATGTCCATACATGTACTCCCACTACATAACAAACCTGTTTGGTGAGGATAAATGCCTTTCAGGCCACTTGCCAGATTTGTCTGGAATAGGAAAAGGGAGGTTTGTTTCCACTCCCAAGAATATCTGAAGGAATACAGACTATGAAATAGTCACATCTGCAAGACATTTTGCTCAAGAGGCTAAAGTAACTAAAAACAGATGCTTATAAGAAAATACTATAGACATGAGTGAGTAGCCAGAAGCAGCAGTGGGAGCAAAGGCACCTGGACCACCAGTCCAGATTTTCAAGGCCCAGCACAAGGCTCACTCACATCAGACCAGTCATGCTCATGCCTGGGCCACTGGGCTCCAAGTGGGTTACGTGTCTTTCCAGAGGAGTGGGCAGCACAAGATGAACCAGTGAGATGAGGAGGAAAATACTGGAACGTTTTTTCGATCTAAAAGCTTCCTATTGTTTAATATATAGATTATCAGTTGAATGTACGGGAGGCAGCACAGAACAGTGAAAACAGTAAAATGCTCAGGCCAGTCTAACCACCAACGGTGGTGAAGTCGCTTACCAACCACTGACCTGGAGAAGTTACTTAACCTTTCTGTGCCTCCATTTCTTCCCCTATAAAACTGACAACATAATAAACCTAACTCATAGGGTTATAATGAGGATTAAATAGGTTACTATTCATAAAGCACTTAGGAGAGTTCTTGGCACAAAGTAATCACTATATAAATGTTGGCTTGATTATGTCAGATGGTCACATACAGTATGTCCGCTGGTCTTAAAAAAATCCCGAAGGAAAAGCAGGTGTCCCACCAGGTGGAAGGCTTTACTGGTTCATTCACTTTCAGAAAACTGTGGCATATTGAAGCATCCAAAGGCCTGCTTATATTCATGTTTTTAATCGTATGTTCTGTTTTAGGTAAACTAACTAGGTGGACAAATGGCTTAAAAAGATTCTGGCAAAGAATTAAAGATGATACCTAAGCACTTGCAAATAAGAAGAGAATGAAGAGGGGAGGGCACAGCTCAGTGGGAGAGCGCATGCCTAGCATGAATGAGGTCCTGGGTTCAATTTCTAGTACCTCTGTTACAAAAATAAATAAACCTAATTCCCCCTTCCCATTAAAAAAATTTAAAAAAAAAGAAGAAGAAAATGACAGAATGGCAGCACTACTATTCTTGGTAAAAGCTCTTGTTCCAGTTACATTATGAAAGAAAAACAAGACCATCTAATCAGAGAAACAAGAAGATGGCCAACAAATTTAAATTATCAAGAAAACTGCATTAAATAAATACCATTTTTATTTGTAAAAAACCTAAGTTTAAAAAAAAACCTGTGTGATTATGAACTTTACCCTCTATTAATTAATTCTCAACTTTGCCCTAACTATATATTTTGCCTTGAGATACAGGGTCCATCATCCCTTATCCGACACGCTTGGAGCAGGTAAGTTCAGAATCGAGAATTTCTCAATTTAGCTTTCTGCATGTTATCAACACTCCCCCAGCAATATCCCATAACCACACACATAACATTTCTGCAGAGAAACATATGAACGAACATTCACTCTAAGTAGGAAAAATGAAGATCATAAATAATCATTTGGGGCAACATTATATATTGGCTATAAATTATTATTTACCTTTTTAAGGTCCTAATATCAAACCCATTATTCCCTTTCAAAAGGATCTAATGAGAAATTCATTGTGAGTCAGTGGCTCACACGTCACAGTGGGTTCAATGATGCCATTTGGCAAAAAAGACAGTCTTTGCTGGTCAGAGCTGTCCATCTAAACGGAAAATGAAGAGAACTCGATTCAGTCATAAACGTTTACACCAAAAAAAGAGGAAAGGCACCGAGGTTCCGATCAGAAGCATAAATTCCATCGACCAGACAAACGGCGGCCACGCAGGGATCTGGGGTGTCCGGGGACACTGAGCTGCTTGGGGCTCTGCTCCCAGCCCTACCGTCCAGCCGTGCCTGGCTGCCGCAGCCCCGCAGGGAGCCCCGACCACCCTGGCCTGCACACAGAGCACCACTCCCTGTCCTGCCCCTTCCCAGGGTCTTCCCCGCTGCTGCGGGAAACCCAGTCTTTAGATGCTGAGTGGAAGGGTCTGCAGGAAGCCCAACAGCTTGGAGAACCAACAAGAGAGACCTCCCGCTCCCAAGATCTTTCATCAAACGCTCCCAATTCCTTTACTCCCCTTGGCTTGCTTCCATTAAATTCAATTAGAATTTTTTTTCCTTTTAACAATAACTTCTTTTGAAAAAGCAAGCATATCTTGAATGGTTAGTTTAACATAACTGTTTTTCCGCTGATACTTAGCTGAGACTAGCCACATTGTAGTTTAATTTTCACTTTAAAAAACATGTATTAAGCAACTCTCTTGTGCCAGGTGGAAAAAAGTGGGTTGAATAAAGATCATAAATAGCTTCATAAATGGCAGTACAAGTTGGTTTTTGCCACCAAATGAACTTCTCCAATCTGGGGGAGGGGCTGGAGTGGGGACCTGGAGAGAAAGACACTGAACAAGCTATGACAGAAGTGACAAATGCCATGAAAGAGGAATGAAGGGTGTGTGCCAGCTTCCGGCCAGGGAGGAACCCAGGAGAAGACCTGGGGGATGGGCTCATGTCAACTAGTAAAGGTGGGAGGAGGGTTTCCCAGTCTCCAGCCCCTGGATGGTGACTGCTGGGGAACAGCCCGGCCATGGAGGGCTGTGTGGATTCTCATCTTCATAAGAGTGAGGTGTCAGGTGAGGTGATTGGTAAATTTTAAGCAAGAGAACAGCCTCAGCTGACCTGAATTTTCAGCAATCCCTCTCTGGCTGCAGTGAGAGGATGATGTGGATGGGACGAGGGAGCCGGTTAGGAATCTGTTGCCAGAGTCCAGGTGGAAGATAATGGAGGCTTAAACCTCCATTGGTGTCAGTGGAACTGGGGAGACATGGACAGATTCAGACAGTCAGAGATTCTCTGGAAGAGATGAAATCCATAGGACTAGTGACTTACTACTCACAGGAGGTGAAGAAGAGGAATCCTCCTGGGCTTTTGGTTTTAACAATGAGATGAATGGTTTAGGGGGTAAGATGATGAGTCCAGTTCCAGGTGTGCTGCTTTTGAGGTGCCTGGGAGACATCTGAGGGATGACAACTGTTCAGCACTCAAATGCAGGGGAGAGATGCCAGTCTGGAGTCATGAGCATCCGGACAGAAATCACTTAGCAAGTGTGTAAGATAAAGAAATGCAGAGGTTCTAGTATAAGAGGCAGAAGTCCAGCACTTAAGAGATGAGATAGGGCGGTGGAGCTGGCTGGCTAGGAGACAGGAAGGAACAGCCAGGGAGGCAGGAGGTGGACAAGGTGAGTGTGCTGTCACAGAATCAAGGTCAACGCAGATACGGATGGAAAGTGTCCCCCAGATTTGGGGACCTGGAAGCCGTTTGCTGGCTGTTTTAGTGACAGCATTTTCAAGGGAAGGGGGTGAGTTAGGAGGGGGTTGAAAAGTGAAATGTGAGTTAAGAACTAAATCCCAAAGTACAGGTGACTTTTTCAAGAAACAGGGCTGTAAAAGGAAGATGAAAAAAAGAGGGTGTTTTTTGAGGAGAACAGGGGGATGAGGGGCGATTTTGTTTTGCTTTCAGGTGAGATAACTGAGTACATTTCAAAGCTGAGACAGAGAAGAGGAGGGGATAATGATTAACAGAAGGTCCCTGAGAGAGCTGAGGGGCTGGGATCGGCAGTGGAGGGGAGGGTTGACCTGATACTGGAGCACTGACACTGCTTCCCTGGTGAGAGGAAAGGAGGGAAGAAAATGCAACGGAGGCCTCAGGCTCACAGGTATTTTGGTGGAGGGTGAGGAAGCTCACACCTGATGGCTTCCAGCTGCTCTGAGTGATGGGAGCCAGTCAGCTCTGAGAATGAGCCAGGGGCAGGGGAGGCCCAAGGAGAGAGGGGCTGAAAGAGCTGAGGACGGGAGCACCAGCGCCAGGGCCCCTCACTGGCCCCGCTGAGGGTGCAGGCATGATCCACCCACAGTGGCCCCAGTCGGCCTGGGAGCAGTGGGCGGGTGGCTGGCAGGGTCCACACAGAGCCGGGGTGTGCCCGGCGGGTGCATGGGAAGGACGACAGGGTGAGGAGTTTAGAGTGTGGGTAGGAGAGTGATTAAAGGGTTGGGCCATGGGATCTCGGCTGGAGAGGCAAGTGCAAGCAGGAAGCAGCCAGTGGGTGGGGAGAGAGTCAAGGAAGAGGGACTTCTAAAGAGAAGTGGGTGAATTTGGATGCTTGGAGGCTTGGACCATCTGGGAGCCCTGGGCTTAGTGGGGTTGTAGGTAAGAGCACGTGTAGTGAGCCAGACAATCTCTGCCGGGTTAACCTCTTGCCAAGACCAGGCTTACACCCAGGAAAAGGGAAAGAAATGCAAAGAGGAGCATGGGGCATGGATGGAATTGTAATAACCCGACTTCTTTGTGATTAGGCAGGGCATTATGCAAGGAA